GCTAACTAAGACAGGTGGGGAATTGCAGTATTATATTAAGTAGTTCCACCACTTGTCTGTCAGTTTGTCGTACTGTGGTGACGTGTGCTGCTATGATTTTGGAAGCTATGTCACTGGTGTTTCAAACACCAGCAGGGTCACCCAACGTGCACAGGTTTCGTCAGCGCTAAAAACAGACTAGACAGAAGGAATGGACTACCTACTTCAGCGGCATTAGCTGCTGAAACTATAAGGATGGCATCGAAACCTCGTCACATACTGAAAACCTGGTGAATAGGAGAAGAGAACCGTGTCGGTATACTGCCAGAAGATGAGGCTTTCATGTCAAAAGGCACTCAAAATATGACTGCAGAAGAGCTGCTTTCTCAAAGTAGAGTCAACTCTAATGATGTGGACGGAGTAAAGCCTTCAGGACCTTCATTTGCCAATGGGCCATGACACAGAATTAGAAGAAACAGCTATAAACATCAATTAATTGGGACTTGGAATTTACAAAATATAAATCTAGAAAAATTGGAAGTTGTCACAAATTAACGGAACTCAATATCCTAGGCATTAGTGAACTGAAATGCACTGGTACTGGCTATTTTTAATCAGAAAATTATTAGGTTTATTATGCCTGGAATGAGTTTTCAAGAGGAATGTCATTGTCTTCATCATCGAAAAGGACATTTCAAGATCTGTCTGTAAATACGATGCAGGCTGTAATAGGATTATATAATTTCACATACAAGGAAATCCAGTCAACAATTGTTATTCAAACTTATGCACCGACCACTAAAGCAAGTGATGCAATATCTTTTATTTTTAAATTGATCAAAAATGCAATCAAGATGCATTGATTATTACTGGTTGTGGTAGGTTGGTTTATTTTGCCAACTGGCCAATGAATACATGTGGGATTAATTGAAGGGTGGAGAGATAAATGGCTCCGGAAGCCTTGCCTTTCTTGCCTCTTGCTCTTTGATGAGCAGACCAGTGTGCGGCTGCCTTAGCTTGTTCTCTGCCTCAATTTGCAAGCTACACTATCTGTGGGACATCAAACCGGTGCACTGTGTCTCTGTAATTTGCGGTTCCTTCAAGACCTGCTTCGCCACGCTGCTGTAGTATACAGGGAGACGTCGGACAGGGCAAGATATGACAAAATAATAATTTATAAATTATCAAGGGTTCATAAGGGAGGAGGAGCAGGGAGGAAGAGGGAAAATGGGGAGCTGATGCCAGGGGCTTGGGTGGAGAGCAAATGTTTTGAGACTGATGAGGGCAATGAATGTACAAATGCGCTTTACACAATTGATGTATGTATGATTGTGATAAGAGTTGTATGAGCCCCTAATAAAATGATTAAAAAAACAAAAGAACAAACAAATCTGTCTTGGAAGAAGTCCATCCAGAATGCTCCTTAAAGGTAAGGATGATGAAACGTTGTCTCACGTATTTTGGGCATGTTGTCAGGAGATACAAGTCCCTGGAGAAAAACATCATGTGCGGCAAAGTCGAGGGCCATTGAGAAAGAGGAAGGCCCTTGACAAGTTGGATGGATGACACAATGGCTGAGAGAACGGGCTCTAACTGGAACCATGGTGCGATGGCTCCGGCAGGGCAGTGGTTCATTCCCTTGCACACAGGGTCACTGTGAGCTGGAACCTACTCGACAGCCCCACACAACAATAGTTTCAGAACATTTTCATTACCCCTTCAAGAAACCCCAAATCCATTCTCGCATCCAAAATCCCGACAACCACTAATATACTTTCTGTCGCTACGTATTTCTGATCCTGTGCACTTCACAGAAATAGAATTCAGTCGTGGCCCTTTATGATTGACTTCTTTCACTTCACACCATGTTTTCAAGGTTCATCCAGGCTATAACGTGTGTCAATGTCCCATTCTTTTTTGTAGGTAAATAATGTGGATATACTACCATCTGTTTTATGCATTCATCCATTGTTAGGGATTGAGTTGTCTCAACTTTTTAGCTATTATGCATAATGCTAATATGAACACTCACATACACATTTTCATGTGAGCATGTGTTTTCCTTTCCATAATGGCTAGTGTAATTGAGCGGGCTTACTTCTGACACAGAGGGTAGCAATCACATCTTTTGGGGTTGTGAGCCCCACCTGGATACCCTCTCTGGAGGCAATACGGTACAACCACTTCTATCTGGAAATGGCCTCCTTAATAGGAGCCTGACCCAGGGCCTGAGTTGTTTCTTGCAGTTCAATGTGACTTTTCTCTGTCAGGGGCTTTCCACTCAATAAAATTATTGTCTCTGGTGTGGGAGGTGATGGCACAGGACCATCTGTAGCTCTGGGGACATTCACTATCTCTAAACACTGCTCGTAGACACCGGAGGGGCTAAAGAAGTTCCTTGCCCCCTGTCCTCTCAAGGGACCCCTTTCCAAACGCAGCGACCTAGAGATCTAAGCGCAGCTGTTCCTGGGCTTACAGATTCTCGGAATAAGCCCCAAGGACTCTCTGACCTGCCTCCCTGAAGTCCACAGAGGAGGTCTCTGAGCTGCTACCCACGATGGGCAAGGGACCAAAATAGCAGGAAATTAAACTTTTAATGACCCTGGGATTTAGTGGCAGCCCAGTTTTGTCCCCAACACCCTTAACATCTCTAAGGTCTGCATGCCTGCTTCTGCTCAGCCTTGGGAAAGGCCCACATGGCCCCAGGCTCAGAAGCCAGGCACGAACTCCCACTTAAAAGCCTGTCCTTATCTGTCTGGGCTCCACACAAAGGCTGCAGGTGCCACTCGCTGCCGTCCAACCTCCTTCTCAGGCATGTGGCTGTGCTCCCTGCTGCCTATCTTCATCGGGCCCCTCTCTGGTTTCACACTGCCAGGGTCAACACACAAGCACTTAGTGCAGAGGCTCCACTTTAAAAGGCCTGGAGATGTAATCATCGGAGGCAGCTTCTCCATCTTCAAGTATGATGAAGTGTCCTGGTTCAAGTTTACTTCGCCACCATCTCGGTTGCTGTCTTTAAAGTAAGTGATCACTGGGTGGGTTGGCTGGTTGGTTGGGATACTCAGAAGTCTAAGGGCACCTTAGAAGTGTTTCTCTAAAACCTGGGGCAGTTGCTGATTCTGAGACTCCAAGTTGATGGTCAGGGTTTGTTCTGTTTGCCTTCATGCTCCTCTGTTTGCCTCTCCTCCCTGGTCTTTGTTTTCTTGCTTATACTTGTTTCTGTTTAAAGTGGGTTAATTCATTGTCACCAGTGTATCTCCACCCCCACAAGTCCACAACATTTTTCTCTCTTGTTCACTGGTAGGCTCTTGGTGCCAGGAACACAGTAGTCATTCAGTAAATGTTTGTGGAGTGAATAAATTTATTCATGATCTCATTGGGGGGCTCTCACAGCTCTTATAACATTGCATACAATAATGATATCCAGCATATTTGAACATAGGTTGCTATCATTATTTCCAAAACATTTTCTACTTGAGCCCTTGGTATCAGCTCCTCTTTTTCCCCTCTCCCCACCCTCCCATCCTCATGAATCCTTGATCAATTACACATTGTTCTTATTATTTTGTATCTTACACTGTACGTTGTCTCCCTGCACCCACATCTCTGTTATTCATTCCCTTGGGGGAGGGCTATATATCCGATCTTGTGATGGGTTCCTCCTTTCTCACCCTTCCTCCTCCCTGACCATCCCCCTACCCTCATGATATCACTACTCCCACCACTGTTCCTGAGGGGTTTATCTGTCCTGAGTTCCATGTGTCAAGAGCTCTTATCTGAATCAATGTGTGTTCTCCCGTCTAGCCAGATTTGTAAGGTGGACCTGGGTCATGGTAGTGGGGGGAGGAAGTATTCAGGAACTAGAGGAATGATGTGTGATTTGCCGGTGCTGTACTGCACCTTGGTTAAATCATCCCTTCCTTATAACCCTTCTGTGGGGGGATATCCAGTTATCTACAGATGGGCTTTGGGCCTCCACTCCAACCCCCCCATTCCCATTGATATAGTTGTTTGTTTGGGATCTTTTGATATCTGATACTTGATCCCGTCGATACCTCATGATCACACAGGCTGGTGTGCTCCTTCCATGTGAGCTTATTTGCTTCCCTGCTAGATGGCTGGACCTACTTTTTTTAATTGAGTTTCTCCAAAGTCTTTGCAAATAAGAGGCACTGACTTTTTGTGGGTCATGAATGATAATAGTATGAACATTCATGGAAAAGTTTCTGTGTAGAGTGTGCCTTCATCCCTTTTGTATATACTTAGGAATCACTCACAAAATTCTGTTCTGTCAAAAAAGAAGAAAATCTGAATGATATAATACTTGAAGTTTGATTGAATATATAGGTCTATGGATGGCCAGCACTTTCCCTGGAACTAGGAAAGTGTTCCCCAACAAAGAAAGGCTAGGGGTTTACACTGACAACAGAATAAAAGGGGGCGGGGGTTGTTAAGGAGAACATTAAAAAAAATAATTTTTACAATTTAAAGTTGAACCAGGCATCATTTTATCAAATATTTATCAAGGGAAAACACAAGATAAACAGAGCAGCTAAAGCTTAAGTTTATCAGAAAAAGAGTCACGGAAGAACACTAATGGGCATACACAGATTACAGCTTTGTGTCAGTAGACGTGTCTAGTGTTGATCAAGACAGTAAAGTAAACATGGATATCATACGCCAGGCCTCTGTGTGAATTTGTCCCAAATCCTTGTGTTTAGGTCCCATCCAGTCAATTCCAACTCATAGCAAACTGAGGTGCTCAACAGGGTGTTCTCGCTCTTAGGGTTACAGTAGATCACTGGGCCTTTCTCCTGTGGAGGTCCACAGTGAGTTCCAACCGTGAGTCTTTTGGTTAGCGGCCCAGTGCTTAATCCCTGAGCAATCAGGTTTCCTTTGTGCAAGCCCTAGTACCATGGAATGTGGAAAAGGGTGTGGTGGGGGTAGGGGGTAGTTCACACCTGTCATCACCTGCACCAGTAGCAAATGATACATGGGCTTCTCTTTCCTGCAGCATTTCCATGTGGAGCTACCAGGTGGCTCAGGGTTTGGTTTTTGCCATTGAGGAAATCAACAGGGACTCCCACCTGCTTCCCAACATCACACTGGGCTTCTCCATCTGGAACTCTGGGGACTTGGTGGCTGATGCCCTCCACAAGGCCATGAGCTTCCTCACAGGCCGGGAAGAGCCCATCCCCAACTATGTGTGTCAAGCTAGGCCGCCCAGAGTTGCCCTGGTTGGAGAGTTGAGGTCCACTCTGTCTATCCCCGTGGCCAGGCTGCTGGGACGCTACAAGTTCCCCCAGGTACGTCTACTTTGCTAAAGCCTTTCCCCCTGAACGTAAACGACGGTCATGCGGCCTATGCTGATCACGTTGAGACCCTGCTTCCCCTGGGCCAGCTTCCCTGCTAATACTTTGCATGCAGTGTATTGTCGTTTCCCCCGCGTCTTTGTGGTGGAGGAAACAGGCTCGGGGAAAAATCAAGGGCAGATTCAAGCTCACCCAACCCGGAGTGGCTGGAGTCATGTTTTGAACGCAGGCAATCGGGTTCAAGGTCAACCAGCTTCACTTCATCCCAGAGGGTGGAGCTCAAGCCTTTGGAGCTCTTCCTGGGATGAGCCTCTGTCCAGGTGCCACCTCTTCTTGTTTTCTTACTGTTCTTACAACTTTACCGAGAGAGGTCACACGCCATAGCACTCACGCTGTGAAAGGACAGAGCTCAGTGGATTTCAGCACCGTCATAGAGCTGTACAACCATCACTGCAACCTACTTCCAGAACTTATTTCCAGTGTTTTTATCAACTCGATATAGAACCCTGTGCCCATTAGCTACCTCATCTGTCTTCCCATCCCTCTCCACCCCTGGAAACTCACCAATCTACTTCTTATCTCTATGGATTTCCCTATCTTGAGCGTTTTATATCAATGGAATCATACCATATGCTGCCTTTAAGTGTCTGTCTTCCTTCATTTGGCACAAAGATTTACAGTTTCATCCATGTCATAGCATGAGTCAGAACTTCTTTTGATTGGGAGCTGTTTAGAATGCAGCCTTAGGAGTCAACATCCACCTTTTTGAAAACTTCCAAGAGAGCCTATCGGTACCCTGAAAACAAGTTGTAGTTGTTCATTTCAGTTCAGTTTCCTGCCACTTGTGATGACCCCCTGTGTGCGAGTAGAACTACTCCATGGGGTCTTGGAGACAGGGATCTCTAGAAAGCAGATCACCAGGCCTTACTTCTGAGCAGCTTTTAGATGAGTTTAAACCACCAGTTATTGAGTTAGTAGTTCAGTGCATAATCGTTTGCACAATGAAGCCTCCAACAATGATTTGGATGACACGAGACCTAAGCCAAACCCCAAACTCACTGCCAACAAGCGGGTGCCGACTCGTAGTGCATCTATGGTGGAGGACGGAACTGCCCCATGCGTTTCCAACTGTACGGGAGCAGAAAGCCCACCTTTCTCCCTCAGAGCAGCTGGTAGTTTCCAGCTGCGGCCCAGTGCATACCCACTCTGCCCGTAGACTCAAAACCAGGAAAACCCTGCCCTCCCCATCAATCCTTACTCATGGTGACTCCGTGTGTCACAGGGTTCAACTGCTCCCCAGGGTGTTCCTGGCTGTAATGATTACAAAAACTGATCACCAGGCCTTTCTTCCCCCGTACTGTTGGGTGAAGGACTAGTCGACATCCCACCATTTCAGGAGGTAGCATATGAGCAAGAACCAGGGGTGCTGAAGAAAGAAGTTCGAGCTGCACTGAAAACCTCAGCAAACACAAGTCTCCAAGAACTGATGAAATATTCACCGAAACGTTTCGACAAGCTGTTGAAGCACTGGAAGCACTCGCTCGTCTGTTCCAAGACATGTGGAAGTCAGTTACTTGGCCAACTGACTGGAAGAGGTCCGTATTTGTTCTCATTCCAAAGAAAGGTGACCCAACAGAGCACTCAAATCATAGAACAGCATCATTAGTATCACATGCAAGCACGATTTGACTGGAGATTATTTAACAGCGATTATAGCAGTATTGACAGAGAACTGACAGAGGTTCAGACTAGATTCAGAAGAGGAGGTGGAATAAGGGATATCATTACTGTTATCAGATGTATCTTAGCTGGAAGCACTGAGTATCAGAAAGATGTTTACTTGTGTTTCATTAACTATGCAAAGGTGTAGTATTAAATAAAATAAATAATAACGCTGTCGGAGGGTGAGGGAACCAGCCCCCACCCGCTGCTTGAACTCACTGGTTCAGTAATACTACCTCTGGGTTCAGTAATGCACAATTGTACGGTTGAGATACATAAGCATTATATTAAAGTCATCGAGAGCATGAGAGATAATACAATAATACAGTCAGGCATCAGGCATGATACATAGCAACATTGCTCACCTCAGCCCAGCTTGGTGGTCCACGTAGAGAGAGGGGGAAGGGAAGGAGGGAAGGGGAACAAGGGAGAGGGGACTGAGCAGGGAGTGAGCAGCAAGGAGCTCAGGGTCAGAGTCAGAGTCAGAGAGAGAAGTCTTGCTGACTCACACCTATATACCTTTTGGGGGCAATCCAGCCCACTAATTACAGGTAAAGACATACGTCACAGGAAGGGGCTGCACTATAGGTTACACAGCAATGAGAGGGTGGTCTCTGGGTCTCCATAGGAACATTATCAGTGGTGTAAACCCCACCTAGAGGAACCAAGCTAATGGTCCCAAAGCTTCAGAGAGAAGTAGGCCATTGTCCCCAGCAGCAGGGAGCAGGCCCAGCCCTGCTGTGGGATGAGACAGCAGTCTGGCAGCAAGTGTCTGACTTCTCCCCACACAAAGGCATTCGACTGTGTGAACTATAACAAACTATGGATAGCCTGGAGAAAAATGGGAATCCCGGAACACTTCATTGTGCTCATTTGTAACTTGTACATGAGGAAGAGACAGCTGTGCAAACAGAACAAGAGTATATTGCTTGGTTTAAAATCAGGAAAGGAGTGTGTCAGGGCTTCATCTTCTCAGCATACTTATTCTATCATCAAATCATCCATATCCCATGAGCAAATCATTCGCGCCTCTGGGTTGTGTGAAGAAGAATGTGACATCAGATTGGAGAAAGGCTTGTTAGCAACCTTGGATGTGCAGATGACACCGCCTTGCTTGCTGAAAGAGAGGAGGACTGGAAGCACTTGCTGGTGAAGACCAAGGATTGTAGGCTTCACGATGGATTACAGCTCAATGTACAGAAAACCAGAATCCTCACAGCTGGACCAAGAGGGAACACCATGGTAAACGGATGAAAGATTGAAGTTGTCAAGGATTTTGTCTTGTTTGGATCCACAATCAGTGCTCATAGAAGCAGCAGTCAAGAGATCAAAGGATGCACTGCACTGGCTAAATCTTCTGCACAAGACCTTTTTAAGTGTTGGAAAACAGGGTCAACGAGCCTCCACCCAGAGGGCCATTGTGTACATAATTTCTGAGAGCCGAAAATAACGTCCAAGCCTCCAGACCGACCTTGCAGTTAGCAGCCCTACGTGTAACCCGCTCCACCACCAGGGCTCCTTAACAGGAACCAAGCAAGTCCAAATCCCCGCGGAATAATTTACATGAACTCTCACGGCTTGGAAGTTACTTTTTGTTCTCAGAGATTGTGTCCGCAGTGGCCCTGCCCCTCCACAGTGTGAGTGTTGGCCATGCCTTCTGGGTCCTGGGTGGAGGCTCCTTGGCCCTTTAGATCCACTCACCAAGCCAACTGGACTGGCAGTCCTCACCTTCTGGTCATCTGAGTGGTGACCCCACCAGCCTGACCTCAACAGGCCCCAGGCCGCCCCTGAGACAATGCAGCCCTGCCTCCACAGTGTGGGATGGCCATCCTGTGCCCCTGCTCACCTGGATGGCACCCCCACACCAGGGAAACCAGTTGGAAAAGAGCTAACCCTGAAACCTAGGAGGCAGGAACCCACCCTTTGAGATCCCAGATACCTGGGCCCCGCCATTTAAAACTGAGGAAACGTTGCTAACCCTTCTACCGATCCCTGAGCTCCTTCCAGGATGGTCCTTTTCCTTCCTGAGAGGACAAGGGTGGTGCCTTTGACCGTTCCACGGCAGCAGAAGTCCAGGAGTCAGGTAGTGATCTTTCCTTCCATTCTCTCTCTGTCCTCTTGAGTCTAAGCCCCTGGCTCTCTGGGGTGGAAGTGATTCTATCCATTAATCATCAGGCTAATCTCTGCAGCAAGACCGGGTCCGAACCAACTATACAATTCTAGGAAATCTGCACCTCATTTGTACAACGGAATTGTCCAAATTTGTATGTTCTGTTTTCATTTTGCAGCATTCATTTTTAAAAATCACTTTACAGGGGGCTCTTACAGCTCTTACAACAATCCATACATCAATTGTATCAAACACATTTATACATATGTTACCATCATCATTTTCAAAACGCTTTCTACTTGAGCCCTTGGTATCAGCTCCTCTTTATCCCCTCCCTCATGACCCCGTGATAAATTATAAATTATTATTATTTTTATATCTTACACAGTCTGATGTCTCCCTTCACCCATGTTTCTGTTGTTCATCCCCCTGGAGGAGGGGGGTATACATTGATCATTGTGATCGGTTCCACCTTCCTCCCCTTCTCCCACTACCCTTGTGGTATCGCTACTCCCTTTATTGTTCCTGAGGGGTTTCTCTGTTCTGGATTCCGTGTGTCCAGAGCTCTTCTCTGTACCAGTGTACATGCTCCAGTCTAGCCAGGTTTGTAAGTAGAATTGGGGTCATAATAGTAGGGGGTGGATTATTAAAGAACAAGAGGAATGTTGTGTTTTGCCGATGCTATACTGCAGCCTGGCTGGCTCGTCCCTTCCTTGTGACCCTTCTGTGAGGGGATGTCCAATTATCTATAGATGGGCTTTGGGTCTCCACTCCGACCCTTCTTGTTCACATTGATTTGACTATTTGTCATATCAGGGTCTTCTGATACCTGATACCTGATCCTGTCAACACCTTGTGATCACACAGGCTGGTGTGCTTCTTTCATATGAGCATTATTGCTTCCCAGCTAGATGGCTGTTTGTTAAGCTTTTAAGACCCCAGATGCTATATCTTCTAGTAGCAGGGCACTATTAGCTTTCTTCACCACATTTGCTTATGCACCCATTTTGTCTTCAGCAATTGTGTCGGGAAGGTGAGCATTACAGAATGCCAGGTTATTAGAACAAAGTGTTCTTGCATTGAGGGAGTACTTGAGTAGAGGCCCAATGTCCACCTGCTACCTTGATACTTAACATATAAACATATGTACATAGACCTATATCCCTATAATTTTATATTAATATATTTACATATATACATGCCTATATTTATACCTCTATAAATGTCTTTTGCCTCCTGGTTCTTTCCTCTATTTCCTTTTACTTTCCTCCTGTCCCACTATCATATTCAACCTTCATCCGGCTCTCAGTAATTCCTCTCAGCTACATGCAACATTCATTTTAAGTTAATCTTTTCCCTCTTACATTTTACTAGAAGCAGCAAGTAGAAACATCTCTTTCAGACCTTGCTTAGAAATCTCATCCACCAGATATTCACATTCATCCCTTAAAAATTCTATGGTCCACCAAACATGTGAACATAGCTCAAACAAGTTCTTTGCCACAGCATAAAAAACATTGCCTTTCCTCCATTACTCAATCACATGTTCATCATTTTCTTTTAAAACATCACCAGAAGCACACTTAACATCCATGTTTCTAGCAACGTTCTGTTGTGGGCACTATATGCGCGCTCTAATAGAAACATTCTCTAAAGCTCTCTCCGGGTCTCTTCTGAGACCTCAAGAATTGCCTTCGATGTCCATTCTTGTACCAACAGTCTCTTCAAGCCAATCTAGGCTTTGCTATCAGACACCTTGAAACTGTTCTAGCCTCTTCCCATTACCCAAATTATCCATTCCAAAACTGCTTCCACATTTTAGGTATGTTTTAGAGCAGCATCCCACGCTCTTGGTCTCAAAATCCACCTCAGTTATATCTGCTACTTTCGCAGAGAAAACAAATCGATGGCTTGAATGAAGAGGATTTTTCACACTTCAGGAGCCTGGAATTTCAAGTTCACAGTGCGGGGTCTTTGGGAAAACATTCTCTCTCTGTTGGCTCTGAAGAAAGGTCCTTTTCTCTACTGAGCTGCATGGTCACATGGTTTGACACCTCTCTTCCCCAATCTCTACTTTTCACTTGTGTGTTTCATCTGCTTTATCCAGGGGTATTTCCAAAAGCTCATGGGCCAATTACATAGGGAGATAATGGAATGTTTCAATAAACTTTTTGAATCTTATCTCAAGTCATTTTGAGGACTCAGGTGAACCTGACCCAGGTCATGGTATTTTCAATAGCCCCGTATACGTACAAAAGTTGCACAATAAGTAAAGAAGCTGATTAATTTATCCCTTGGGATTAACATGCTGGCAAAGAATGTTAAATACACATGGACTGCCCAAGGAATGAACCAAACTGTGTTGGGAGAAGTACACTCAGAACGCTCCTCAGGAACACAGAGGGACCATCCCTGGAAAAGCGCATCATGCCTGACAAAGGAAAGAGGAACACGCTCACTGAGACAATTAACACAGTGGCTGTAGCACCGGGTTCGAACATAACCATGATGTTGAGAATGGTGCAGGAACAAGAAGGGTTTCATTCTGCTATGCATAGGGCCACTAGGGGCCAGACGTAGCACCTAGAACAACAATGACATATCTCAAGAGTTTGGCTCAAGACAGAACCCAGGCTAATCTTTATCATGGACATGACAAAGACAAACTAACTCCAAATGTCATTATAGCCACCACCCACCACCACCGAGTCCATTTTCACTCAGAATGAGCCCAGAGCGCAGAATGAAACTGCTCCCTGGGGTTTTGAAGGCTGTAAATATTTACTCTTCTTTCTCGCTCAAACCAGCTGGTGGACTTGAACTTCTGACTTGGTGGTCAGTAACCCAATGTGTAACCCACTATAGCACCCAGGCTCCTTACTCTGAACCCGAGGCATACCAGAAACACACACACACACACACACACACACACACACACCCCTCACTGTCAAGTTGATTTGGACTTGCAGCTTCCTTATAGGACAAAGTAGAACTACTCATAGGGCTTCCAAGTTTGTCAATCTTTAGAGAAGCAGACTGCCCTATCTTTCCCCTATAGAGTGACCGGCAAGTTTGAACAACGGGCCTCTCACCAGTTGAGTGCTTTAACCACTGCCCCATCAGGGCTCCTAACGCAAATAAAGCCCTCGGCAAGCTATGTCAGGTTGTGCTCCAACATTCTTCCATGTTACCTTTCTTCTCTCACTTGAATCCGAAAATCGCCCTCTATCCAGGATCCATTCTCATGTTCAACCCTCATCCTCATTCCCTGGGTTTCTTCCTGCCCAGGTCAGCTACGCATCCACTGTGGCCAGCCTCAGTGACAAGACTCAGTTCCCGTCCTTCTTGCGGACTGTGGCCAGTGACCTCACAGGCTCCCACATGCTAGTCCAACTGGTGCTCTACTTTAAGTGGCACTGGGTGGACGTTCTGGCCCAAGATGATGACTACGGCCAACAGGGCAGTGCTCTGGTGATCCAGGAACTGGTTCAAGCTGGCGTCTGCATTGATTTACACCTTCATGTCCCTTCTCAGCATCTCCCAGAGAAGACCCTAGCCATCCTCAGGAAAATGGACATCTGTACTGCTAAGGTCTTTCTGGTCTTCCTGAGCACCTCAAATTTCTACGTTATTCTACAGGCACTGGTGGGCAGTGGGATCTTGGGCCGAGTGTGGGTCAGCAAGGACACACTGCACAGTGTGCTGGCCCTGGCCATCCCAGGCATCTCTCAGGTCCTACACGCCTCCTTCAGCCTCATGCCACACCACAGCCAGGTCCCGGGCTTTCTAGAATTCCTCGCTCACCTGCATCCTGCCCGGGCCCCAGAAGACATGTTCACCCAGAGGTTCTGGGAAGTCACCTTTGGATGCACCTGGCCCCAAAGAAGTCAAAGTCTAATGGGAAGTGGCACTGCTGGAGAAGGGGCTCAGTTCTGCTCAGAGAACGAGAGCCTAGGAGGCCAGGAGTACCTTTTCCAGAATGTGAGTAACTTGGACCTTGCATACCCAGCAGTCTACAGCGTGGCCCACGCTCTGCACGACATGGTCACCTATGAACATGGTGATGGACTGTGTGCAGAGATGCTGTGCTTTCATCCCTGGCAGGTGAGAAGGACGTGTGTGAGTAATTCGGGGAAGAGCAGGGAGGGAATGCTCGGTCTGGACCAGCCAGAGAGGTGGAACACAGACAGGGCTCTTCAGGGAAAGCACGTTATGTTTACAACTAAGCGGCATCTTAGAAAGAGCAGGAGAAAGCGTTCACTCCGGTTGGTGGACCCCACAGGAGTCACATCCATGTGGAGTTATTTGATTTAGCAGTTAACTTTGAATTTCAGGTAAGCAGCAAATAGGTTTTTAATATATATGACACAGATTTGAATTTCAAATAAACTGAATAAAATTTTCAGTATAAGTATATTCCAAATTTGAATTTTAAATAAACAGTACGTGCTGGTTTAGTACTCATATGTGCTCCAAATTTCAATTTCAGATAAACTATAAATATTTTTTTATTATAAGAACAACCCAAACATTGCATGGTCTTAATTTTTTTAATCTGAAATTCAAATTGAACTGGGCACCACTTCTTTCTTAAAAAAAACAAAAATTCGACTTTACCACTCCTTTGGTGCAAAACAGATGCAATTCCAGCTGGATTTATTATCCTATATTCATTAATACTTTATTCATTTTACAGTTTAGCTTTAAAATAAGCTAAAGACATTTGCATGGGCCTCTGTACGTGGAAGAAAGGTGAGCCTGCCTGCGCCTATAATAATTTACAGTCTCAGAAAGAAGTAGAGGGCCACGATGGATCAAAATCGGCTCCGTGGCAGTATGTGTGAGGGTTTCGGGTGCTTCTTGTGCCACAGGCCATTGGACATAGCTCAAGGACAGACCCAGACAATCTATGATGTCATCTTTCCTTCCTCCAGTTCCTGCATCACCTTAGGAAGGTACATTTCATGACTCCCAATGGGAGGGAGATTGTTTTCGATGAAAATGGAGACATACTTGCAAAATTTGACATTCTCCATGGGCAGAAAACCACCAACGACCTGTTCCATTTTGTCCATGTTGGCACCATTGACCAGCAGTTCTCTTCAGGAGACAGAGTGCTCAGCCACTGGACAAAGGAAGAGCTTCAGGTGAGTCACCTAGACCCCAGCTCTGCGGGATGAGAATCAGCAGGAAACTCAAAAGGCAGTGGTTCAAGCCCCTCTTGAACTCCTGAAATGGTGTGGGCGTCTACTGAGTCATTCATGGCCCAGCCACACTGTTGAGCCATACTGGAGACCTTCCCTGAGGGAGGCAGGGGATTTACTCAGTATCAGAACTGAAACTCTCAGGGGCAAAGAAGTTCAAGTAGAATCTGCACCAGGGGTTTCCACTAGGACAGTCTGCTTCACATTTCTCCTCAGGCGCCTGCTCCGTAAACAAGTGAGCGAGTTCCCTGGGAAGACAGCTATATGTTTCAACAAAGGGGTTCTCATAGAGCAGTTGTTCTCAACCTGTAGGTTGCGACCCCTTTGGGGGTCGAACGACCCTTTCACAGGGGTCGCCCAATTCATAACAGTAGCAAAATTACAATTATGAATAGCAATGCAAATAATGTTATGGTTGGGGGGGTCACCACCACATGAGGAACTATATTACAGGGTTGCGACATTACGAAGGCTGAGAACCGCTGTCCTAGAGGCACTAGTAGTTCAAAAAGGCCAGTGTTTTCATTTTATTAACAAATGTAGTTTCGATCTTGGAACATGTGTATCCGTGTTTCCATCCTTATCCATCGGACTCCCTGTCCTGGTCCTCTATCCAGCACTGGTGGAAGGCCACGCCTCTCCACTTCACCCTTGGCTTCTTGTGTCCTTAAAGGTGCCCGCAGTCACCACTGACCTTTAGAATCTGACTACCATCTCTGGACCCCTCCACTCCAGGTCAAACATTCCAAGTTTCTAGAAGATTCTCTTGACATTCCTTTCAATTACCATGAGCTGGGACGTCAAGATCCCTTCCAAGCAAGCAGACAGGAGATCAGTCTCTGGAAGACACCACATGGCTTTCTGGGCTCCTCAGCTACCTTCCGCCCATCTCGGAGGGAGGCAAGGCTGAGGAGCGCAGTGCCCAACAGCCCCAGCCATGCACCTCGGAGGATCTTACAGTGCGACCTACAGGGATCACTTGTACACCCTCTCATCTGGGCAGGATTGGCCTTCCTCAGCCCACTTCCCACCTTCAGGCAGTAGGGATAGGATAGGGAGTCTGGCAGTCAGAATGCCTTTGAAAGTAGTGTGGACATTTAGAGCTTCCTCTACTTGTAGAGAAGAGCAGGGCTCCTTCACAATGATTTAATGCTCAATGGCTAACCAACTCACCAAGTGGCTCTGTAAAGACGACAGCCGAGGAAATCCTGTGCGGCAGTTCTACCCTGTCATCCAATATCCCTGAGAGTTGGACTTGACACGGTGGCACAGGACAGCACCACACTTCCGTTAGTCACCACTCTTCTCTGACACCAGAAATGACTTCCCAAAGTGGTCTCGTCTTGCCTGTGTGTGAAAGAAGCCTGGCACCGCTGCTCTGGGTCAGAACAGGGCTGTGTTCCGGCCTGGCCACTGCTGACCCCGCTGTTCCTCTGTCCTCAGGTCCCAAACTCCAGCTGCAGCGCGAGTTGCTCTCCAGGCTTCAGCCAGATCCCCCTGCAGGGTGCCCCTCACTGCTGTTTCGAGTGCAGGCCCTGCCCAGAAGGGCAGTTTGCAAACCAGACAGGTGAGGGCTCCTTGAGGCTGAATCCCAGACGTGATAAAGACACCCCCTAAACACCCCAAATCCCAATCAGCGGAGTCATTATGGCCTCCAAGTTTGGGGTATGTGGGAGCAGAAGAAGGCTGCTGACACAGAAGTCATTCTTAGATGTTTGTCATTAGCAAACTTCTGTTTGTTGTTGTTGTTGTTGTTGTTCTCAGTTTGGGCCCGTGTGGTGGGGGTGGGGTGGGAAACAAACCCACATTGGTCATCACCACTTCCACCTTTTCAATTTAATAGCATCGATCACAATTTTGTCATTGTTGCTGTCCTTTTTCACAATACTCCGCCACCATTAAAGCAAATTCACTGCCCAGTCCAAGAAAAAGGCCACTCCTCCCCCTGGTAACCGGTAATAACTGCATGTTTCTGTATGCTTGCTTACTCACTGGGCTGCAATCCCCGTGGTCTGCACCCGCACCCACCAGCAGTTCTGTGGAAGAAGACTGGGCTTTCTGCTTCTGTCAAGAGTTACGGTCTCGGAAACCCACAGGGCTCACTGTGAGGCAGCAGTGCCTTGATGGCAGCGGGTGTGGCGTTTGAGTGTAGACTTGCTTGTTTGATATAAGTGAGATTATCAGTATCTGTCCTTTTGCAGTTGACTTGTTTCACTCAGTTGGATGTTTACAAGATTCGTTCGTGCGGTGGAATCCCTCAGAACAGCACTGTCATTGAACCATCTTGACGTACACACCCCGTCTTGTTCACCCATTCAGCCACGGATGGACATTTTGTGGAGGGTTTCCCCACCCTGTTATGGATTGAATTGTGTGTAAATCCTAAACTTTACACCCGTGGTTAGAAACCCTTTTGGTGATGGGCTGCCTTTGTTATGTTAATGAGGTGGGAATCCTATAATATGTGTTTTGAGAGTCTCTCCAAACATAAAAGAGATGAAGCAAGTGAGCAGGCAGAAAGGAGGGAAGGTGGACGCCACACAACAATGTGACTTAGCCACAGGTTCCAGCTACTAGGGCATGGACGTCTTTGGGAGGCATCGTCTAGCGTACGGCAGTCTCCATTGTCCCCATCCCTGGGGTTCCTGGGAATTTTTTTTTTTTTCAATTTTGGCAGGCTGTGGTGGTATTTCCTGTGATTCAAAAAAGGAAGAATCGGTGAGGTGTGGTAATAAGAATACCTGCTACCACTCTTGGGGAAATTAGCCCTTAAAATAAGGACACAAAGAATAAATAGGATCTCACTGGTATGAAATCAGCAAACACATAGGAAGCAAACATTATTCATGGTTACTGGGGGTGGGCAGGAGGGGAGAGATGGAGCTCTTGCTTAAGTGAGTTTCTACTTCAATAACTAAGGCAACCTGGTGCTGCCGTAACAGAAATACCACAAGTAGACGGCTTTACCAAAGAAAAATGTATTCTCTCAGAATCCAAGAAGCTCTAAGTCTGAATTGAGGGCACTGGCTTTAGGAGAAGGCTTCCTTTCTTCGTTCGATCACAGTTGTGTCCCTTCAGCATTCTGCGCACATCTCTGTGTGCCTCAGCATCACGATTTCCCTGCATCTGGGACGTTCCCAGCACCGGGAGCCGGAGTCCAAAGGACATGCTATGCTCCCAGTTATTCTTTCTTCATGATGATAGGTCGCCCTGGTCTCTGCTGGCTTGTTTAATCTTTTACATCTCAAAAGAAATTTACTCAAGATTCAGCCTAATTCTGTATATTGCATAGTTTCAATAACATCATATAGGTGCAATTTACAGTAAGATAATTACATCAAATCAAAAAGGAAAGATAATTATATAATACTGAGACTCAAGGCCAAGTCAAGTTGATGTATATTAAGGGGAACACTATTCAATCCATAACAAGGTAAAGGTAGTGGTGTGGTGGGTTATACATTGGGCTATTAACCACAAGGTCAGCAGTTCGAAACTACCAGCCCCTCTGTGGGAGAAAAATGAAGCTTTCTACTCCTGTAAAGAGTTACAGTCCCGGAAGGCCACAGAGGCAGTTCTATTGTTCCATAAGGTCACTATGAGTCAGAATCGACTTGACGGCCGTGAATTGGTTGACAGTAGCATGATTTGTAAACAAGAGCAAGCATGGGCATCACAACTTAAAGACTGTTATAAATTGTAATGTAGAAATCATTGAGATGGTATATTTTTTGTGATATATATTTTAACCAGAATATAATTAATAACATAAACACACATTTTTCCTCATGCCCCAGACTCTGGTGTGGCTCACCCCTCAGAAATTAAAATATCTGAAGATATTTTAAATTATGATTAAAATATCATAAGAATGCTAGCACAGATGACCACAGAGTTTTGGGTTCTGTGTCTTCCACAGACATGACGCAGTGCCTTCCATGCCCCACAGATCAGTACTCAAGCGATGCCAGAAACCACTGCCTGCCCAGGACGGAGATCTTCCTGGACTTTGATGAACCCCTGGGGCTCATGCTGACCTCAGCTGCACTCACGCTGGCCAGCCTCGTGCTGCTGGTCCTGGTGGTGTTCTTGAAATACCGGGGACACACCTGTGGTCAAGGCCAACAACCGGATTCTCAGCTATGTGCTCCTGGCCTCCCTGCTCCTCTGTGCTCTGTGTTCCTTGCTCTTCCTTGGCCGCCCCACCATTGCCACCTGCCTCCTCCGCCAGACCACCTTTGCTATCATATTCACTGTAGCTGTCTCCTCCATTCTGGCCAAAACCCTCACTGTGGTCCTGGCCTTCAGGGCCACCAGGCCAGGGGTCAGGTTACAGGTGTTCCTGGGACCTGGCACCTCCACCTCCGTTGTCCTAATGACATCCTTGGTCCAAGTGATTCTCTGTGGGGTCTGGCTGGGCACCTCCCCACCATTCCCAGACAGGGACAAGGCCTCTGAGCCCAGCCACATCATTATCCAGTGCCAGGAGGGCTCTGGAGCCGCCTTCTCCTACGTGCTGGGCTACTTGGGCCTCCTGGCTGGGGTCACCTTCGTGGTAGCCTTCCTTGCCAGGGGTCTTCCAGATGCCTTCAATGAGACCAAGTTTCTCACGTTCAGCATGCTGCTCTTCTGCAGTGTCTGGGTGGCCTTCCTGCCCCTCTACCACAGCGCTCATGGCAAAGCCACCGTAGCCGTGGAGATCTTCTCCATCCTGACCTCCACGGCTGGGCTGCTGTGCAGCATTTTCCTGCCCAAATGCTACATCATCTTGCTGAGGCCTGAGAGGAATGTCCCAGGCCGGCTGAGATGTGGACGCTGAGCTCAGCAGAACATGCAAAGTGAGAAGCTCCAGGACAGGAATCTCCCAGGCCATCGCCACAAAGCCCCATAGTCTGTCCTTGCTGAAGACCTGTGGGTCACAGGCTCTGTACGGGCCCAGTTTTCCTGTGGGCTGCCAGAATGAGAGAAAAATGAAGCACTGGCAGCACAATGTCAGTTCCTGTTGGATCAAGGTGATGGTTACACGGTGACTCTTTTACGTATGATTGAACTTTCTCCACAGTTCAACAAGTGTGAAAAAGCCTTATCAGGCTGCAATTTAAAAATAATAAAAATCATATCATAAATTTTGGTGAATTTGGTAAATACCGGAACCTTAATCCAGAGCAACTTAAAATATAAAAAGACATAGCCACATTGGCAGTGCCTCATTAAGTTAATCATAGAATTACCATAAAAAGTTTGATACTGTAAAATCAATTTTCACTCATCGAAACCCTTCAGTACAGAGTAGAAGTGCCCCACAGGGTTTCCAAAGCTGAAATCTCGGTGAAAGCAGATTGCCACCTCTTTCTCTGGCAGAGCAGCTGGTAGGTAGGCTGGCACTACAGAAGTTTTGGTTAGCAGTTGAATACTTAACCATTGTGCCAACAAGGTTGTAGAATAACCATACGGTCCAGAAATTTCACTTTTAGATACTTACTCAAGAAAAAGTCAAAAACTTACATCCACACGAAACCTGGTGCACACATTCCTAGCTGCATCGTTCACAATGGTCGAAAAGTAGGAACTGATATTCATCAACTAGCAAATAAATAAACAACATGCGGTGTCCTCATTTAGTATATGTTAATGGTGGTGGAATAATTTGGAAAAAGTTCATGCGAATGGTGGCATGACCAGAAGAATGCAATCAGAGGGAGCATTGGAACTGATTGTGATGATGTCTATACACCTCTTTTTAAACTTAATCATTTTATTGGGTGCTCTGGTAGATATTATAACAATCCATAATTCAGTTAGATCAAGCATAATTTTACAATTGCTTACCACCATCAGTTTCAAAACATTGTCTTTCTTCTTGAACTCTTTGATATCAGCTCCCCTTTAGCCCCTCTACCCCCAGGAACCCTTATATAACTCTTTTTAAAAGTGATTTAACTATGGACATGTATGATATATGACTATTATATCAAGAAAACTCCTTAAAAAAAGAAAAAGAAATCAAACTTGACCAATGGTTACCATGGGTGAAGGAGGAAGAGTTTTTGTTTAGGGGGCATTGAGTTCATGGTGGTAGAATAAATTTGGAAATTTCAATAATGGTTGGACAACAAGAGTATAATCAATGGCATTGAATTATACATGTAGAAATTGTTAAATTTGAGACTGTTTTGTTGTATTTTTGCCGCAATAAAAAAATAACGTATATATTCTAGTATAAGCCGACGCACCTAATTTTACCACAAAAACTGCATTAAAAATGTGCTGAAAAAACTCGACTTATACACGAGTATATACAGTGCATAGAAAAAACAGAATGCAACATGTGTTTCTAAAGTAAATGTTTATAAATGGTGGGATTGGTGTATGTTTTGGTGTATGTTTTGGTACGACTGCTTTTGAACCTCCTGAAGCTGACTCAGTCTGAAACGAAATCATCATCCACCTTAGTCGACTGTTGTTTGATTCACCTAGGGCCACACTACGCCTTCCTGCCTCCCAGTCCCGAGACCTGGACTGGCAGCTTTCAAACTGTGTTAAAGGAAGTATCTTCCTGAAGTGAAGAAACTCTTTTTTTTCTTTTAACTTGATTCTCTATCGAGACAGAAACCCCAAGAGTGGAGTAATCTAAGAAAAATGATAGAAATTAAAATCTCGGTGGAAGCTTGTTCTCTGAGTTTGAGTGGCTACTCCCACTCCAGACCTCAGGATACTTTATGAACCAGCCTTAGACTAGACGTGGGTCTTCCTGGTGGTGCTATTTCTTCCTGGCAAGTCCTTCTGGGGTGACAAGTGTCCAGTAGGCCTCTCGGGCTAGTTATGGTGAACTTCTTGTCTTCAGGACTTGTTCATTCACGAAGAGGAGAGAATTCTGAGAGTCTGCAACTCCACTTTCACTCTCAATCCACAGCGATCGGCTCAAAGGACACATTGCTTTCATGCCCTCAAGTCATTCTGATTCGTAGCGGCTCTGTGGACAATACTGTGCCACCTTCACAGCCGCTGTTATGTTTGAGCCGTTGTGGCAACCACTGTGCCGCTTCATCTCCTTGGTGGTCCTCCTGCTTTCGGCTGACCCTCTGCTTTGCCAAGAATGACGTCCTTTTCCAGGCATTGGTTTCCTGTGGTAACACGGTGGAAGCACACGAGACTAAGTCTCATCACCCACGCTTCTAAGGAGTCCTCTGGTTGCACTTCTCCCAAGACAGATTGGTTTGTTCTTCTGGCAGTCCACGGGATTCTCGGGATTCTTCACCAACACTGTGATTCAGACGCACCCGTTCTTCTGCAGCCTTTTCATTCATTGTCCACCTCCCACAGCGTGTGACACCTTTGAGAATACCACGGCTTGGGTCAGACTCACCTTGGTCTTCAGAATGACATCCTGGCTCTTCACCATTTTTAAAGGGTCTCGTGCAGATTTTCCCAATCCAATATGTTGTTTGATTTCTTGACTGCTGCTCCCATGAGCATTTATTGTCAATTCAAGCACAATGAAACCCTTCGCAATTTCAAACATTTCTCCATTTATTCTGATCCTGTAAATTGTTCCAGCCGCGAGGCTTTTCGTTTTCTTTACATTGAGGTGTGACCCATGCTGAAGACTGCAGCCCTTCATCTTCAGAGGCAAGTGCTTCAAGTCCTCTGATTTTGTTCAAGCCCGGCTGTACCATCTGGACAGCACAGTGGTTAATGACTTCCTCCACGCCTGATGCCACTTTCTTCTTCGTATAGTCCAGAAGGGCTCACTGAAAACCCAGGCGTAAATTATGTATAGGGTGTTTAGAGATGTTTATCCCACGAAAAGTGGAAAGAAGACCAGTTGTAGCAATCATCTGATGCTGATGGCGGTGATGGTGGTGATGATGAGGATGATCTCATGTACCCAATGCCTCTCTAAAAGACCTTCGGAGTTCATTTACTTTCTCTGTCATTAGGGATCTTGTTGAAGTAATAATGGTCTCGCTTCTGATATATCATTCCATAGTCCAATCACGTCAAACAATATTATATAATTGCTACCACAATTGTGGGGGGAAATGCCAGCCCCTCACAACTAACCATGGGTTCTAAAGGTGTAATTGTATGGTTGAAATATATAAATATATATATCAGTAGGGTGTAAACCTCATCCACAGGGACCAGACTGATGGTCGCAAGCCTTTAGTAAGTAGCCCATTGTCCTTAACAGCAGGGAGTGGGCCCTTCTTGTGGTGGGACCAGACAGTAGTCCGGCAACTGACTGCCTTCAGCGAGGATACCTCTAAGCATCTCACCTCCCACCATATGCTGGCAAATAGCCTCTAATGTTTGGCATGTCTTTGGGGGAGACAAAGCTGGGGAAAAGCCTCTTTATAATCCCACAATTTCCCCTTTTGTTTTATATAAAATTTAAAAGAGCCACAGGGGAGAAGTGGTTGTTTTCTATACATTGAAAGCTGTCAAGGTAAATTTAATGACCAAATTAATATAGCCAAAAATTCAGGCTTATGGTAAACGTTTTGAATCCAAGCACTGGGGATAAAGTCCTCCTATGCCCATCTGCTATTGGAGGAGGGTATGAGAGGGATTGGATGCCGCAGTGGGAAGAAATAGAGCCAATAGGAATGTCTGCTTCTGTAGGGAGATAGAATCAACCATTTGCTCACTTTAAAGCAGCACAGATTTAAGGGGAGAAATTGGAAATGATAGACTACCGCAGGAAAATGTACTCGGACTATATCTCCAACTACCAGAGTGGTGGTCTTCCTGCCATGGAATACTAGTCTTCCAGTCCAATACTTCCCATACCAGTCAGGGAATAAGTCCCAGTTCTATTTCCCTCGGTGCTAGTATCCTACAATCATGGCTGTCTTGGTGGTGAGCACTTACATGCTTTATCTTGTTGATGTCTTTTCTTTTTTAAGATACAAAACTGTTTATTTGGAGCTTAGCAGGAAATTTACTGTTTTGTAGCCCATAGCTTAAATTGTACTACCTTCTCTAATCATGATTTTTTAAAAAATCACTTTATTGGGGGCACATACAACTCACAATCCATCCATCCATCCATTGTGTCAAGCACATTTGTACATCTGTTGACATCATTATTCTCAAAACATTTGCTTTATACTTGAGCCCCCCTTGTCTGATGTCTTTTTAATTTTACCCCTCAATTACGCAACCACCCCTTGGACCTATTCGATTGTGGGGGCTGGTACACACACACACACACACAGTTTCTGCAGCACTTTAACTGAGCAGGAAACAAAATATCACAGCCATACGCTGGTCCCTTAAATCGGCCTTCACCAACACCAAAAAAAATAAATAAATAACGAGGTTCGAGCAAATTTGCTTTTATGAAAAAAATCACTGTGACCAGAGAGAACCTTTCCAGGCAACACCACTGGGTGCACTAACTCACAGAGTTGCTCAATATTTACCTAGCAGGAAAAAGGCATACTTCAAAAGTTCTATTGGCCCAGTACAATTCCAGTTTGAGGCGGGGGAACCCCCTCTTATAACAGGTTGTTAATCTTCCTCCAATCCTGATGTCCCATTCTTCATACAGGTATAGTCCAGCATCTCAGGTTACTTGCTCAGTATGAAGATTGAATAAGTATGCTGAAAGGATACAATCTTGACTGTTCTGTTCAATTGACTATGTATTGATCTATGTATAGGTTACTCGTGAGCCCAATTAAGTGTTCTGGAAGTCTCGTTCTTGAAAATATTATCCATCATTTTTCATGATCCATACAGTCGAATGATTTCACATAGCAAATAAAACACAGATAAACTGAAGTCTGAGGCTGGACTGGAGAGGGTGGGGTGAATGGCAGGGGCAGTGGGGTGGTTGAGGGAAGGACTCATTACCTCTAGCCACACCTCCCATACTCCTGCTGCAACTTTTCCTTTCAGCCCAGTCTGTGCTGATGTCCTCAAACCTGACCTGCCCCTGCTATTTCCTCCTGTCCTCACCAGAAACAATTCCTCTCTCCACTCAGGCTGCCTCTCTGCTGTCCTCTAACTCCTGGACCCCAAGTACTGTCCTGCACAGGGGTCAGGGCCTGACCAAATATTAAAACATGATTCAACTACTTGTCATAGGTATTGGGCAGGCCTGTTTATTCTCAGTGCCTCATGACCTCACAGGTGCCATCCCCACTTCTCTGGAGGCCCACATGGCCCTGGACCTCCCGGTCTTTCTGCAGGGCCACCTCTCACCTGGGCATGCTGCTCTGGTGTCTGCTTCCACAGCTCTGGTCAGCGATGTTACCCCCTCTCTCTGGTGGGGGCAGAGACCGTGAATGTCCTTTTCTCGCTGTGTGGAGGCTGAGGGGAAGCTCAGAGGATGAGAAAACCTTGGGATCCCCCCTAGCAGTGGACTTCAACCTGGGGAGTGTTGTCCCTCAGAGGATATTTGGGGACGTCTGGAGATGTTTCTGAATGTCACACGAGGGGGACGTCAGGATGAAGACTCCACAATAAAGGCCGGGTGGGCAGGAAGCAGGGCCTTCCGGTGATACCCCACAGGCTGGCCCCAGGGAAACGGCCCTGCCCACTGGGGGCTTCAGTGTGTTGCATGGTAATATAAGGTGACCAGATTTTAACATTGGTAAAGCAGGACACCATTGACAAGGGTGGGGGGGGCGTGTTCTTGATTAAAAATTTGGTCTTCCCATTCTCCCGCCGTTCCCTAGCTTGTCGAGCATCCTTTCCAAAAATCGGGACTTTAAAAAAATGCCAAAAATCAGGACTGTCCCCCCAAAAGCGGGACGTCTGGTCACCTTACTCTAGGGTTTAGATACTACCCACTTTGTTATGTGGGTAGGTGTCTGTGGTTGGGCGTGAGGGCCTGCATGCCCCAACACTAGATCAGTTGGTGAAAGAATACATTTTCTGTCTCTCCCACTTGGACCTGGTTCCTGATGCCATGCAGGCGAGCACCCCAAAACTTCTGTCTGCCTCTTAATTTCTTTCCTTCAATTACACAAGCTCCCACATCAGAGTCTGGTGCAAGTTCACCCTCAGGATGTTCATGTTCATAGAAACAGTGCAGACAGCAGCTAGTGGGCGTGGCCAAGGTCCACTGGGGGGGTGGGGGAGGGAGGCAGATAGAGGGTCAGACCAAGTCAATATGTGTCACCCCTGACATCACGTGTCACTGTCCCCACAGGAGTGGCATCAGGTCCTCTGCTCTTGGCAGAACCTGAACCTCGGCAGAATCTGCCTCCATTACAATTCCTCTCAGGAAAAGTGGAGACCAGCATCAGGTGCGCCAGAGGATCACTGGCCTCAGATGGTCAGGCTTCAAGTCCCAGGCCCCTCCCCTGCCCACCCCAGCCCATCTCTTCACCATCCTGTGTGTGGGGCTCCTCACATGTTAAGATGAGGGAGCCCCTCAGAGGGCTTTCGTTAGGCAAGAGTAGTCAGTGCACGTAAGGGAGGCCCAGTGCCCAGTACTCTGTCCGGCTGCCAGGGCCCTTAGGGACATTTCGTTTTCTTTCACCTATTTCCTAGATTCCACAGGTGTCGCTCAGCCGTTATTGATCCAGCACGACTGAGCACCCAGAGTCCAGTGGGTGTGGCTGTGCATTGGGTTACTAAGTGCAAGGTCAGCGGTTCAATACCTCAGCTGCTCTGCAGGAGAAAGAGTTAGCTTCCTACTCCCCTAAGGAGTGACAATCTCAGACAGCCAAAGGGGTGGTTCTGCCCCATCCTACAGGGTCGCTATTGATCAGAATCTATCTTAAGGCAGTGTGTGAATGACTGAACACACATGCCTTAGAAGACACATGCCTTCACGTACTCCGGACACGTTAGCAGGAGGAACCAGTCAATGGAGACAGACACCATGCTGGTCAAGTGGAGAGTCGGCGAAAAAAGAGGAACGTCTTCCACAAGCTGCACTGACACAGTACCTGTAGCAACGGCTCACACGCAGCAATTGTGCGGATGGTTACAGAACTGGACAGTGTTTTGTTGAGAGTTGGAACCAACCAGAAGTCACCTCACAACCAGGCACAGTTTGCACTTTACTGCGAACCCTGAAGTTCAACGGTTCGAACCCACACAGCAACCTCATAACCTGGTGCTCTGCTTCCCTGCAGATTACAGCCCACGCAATCTATTCTTGACACGAGGTTGATACGAAGTGTTATTCATATTTTCCACCACCACCGACTGCCAACACGCCCAGAGACCCCTGCGGGTGAGCACACTGCTGCATCTGACCAGAGCCAGACAGGGAAACCGTGGGGTCTCTCTCAGGGACTTCCACTCGTTCCCCTCAGTTCTTGGAGCCCCCACACCGGGCCCTTCCCCCTGGGCGTCGCACGCACCCC